GGTCCTGAGGTTTGGGGGCTTGAGGGGATTTTGGGGGCGTCTTGAGGGGTTTTGGGCAGTCGGGAGGGGGCTTTGATAATTTTTGGGGGTCTGGAGGGATTTTGGGGTCCCAGAGGGGTTTTTGAGGATTTGGGGGTCCAGAGATGATTTTTGGGGTCCAGAGGGGTTTTTGGGGGTCCAGAGGTGGTTTTGGGGGTCCGGAGGGGTTTTTGGGGGATTTTGGGGTCCGAAGGATCTTTGATGATTTGGGGGTCCAGAGGGAGTTTTGGGGGGTCCAGAGGGGGCTTTGGGGGTTCCGGAGAGGGTATTTGAGGGATTTGGGGGTCCGGAGGTGGTTTTTGGGGGATGGGAAGGGGGCTTTTGGTGTTTCTGGGGGTCCGGAGGGGTTTTTGATGATTTTGGGGTGTCCGGAGGGGTTTTTGGTGGTTTTGGGGGTCCGAAGGTGATTTTGAGGGATCGGGAGGGGGTTGGTTTTTGGGGGGACTGGGAGGGGTTTTGGGGGTCCAGAGGGGATTTTGATGATTTTGGGGGTCCTGAGGGGATTTTTGATGATTTTGGGGGGCCTAGAGGGGATTTTGGGTGGGTCCAGAGGGGGTTTTTGATGATTTTGGGGTGTCCGGAGGGGGTTTTTGATGATTTTGGGGGTCTAGAGGGGTTTTTGGGGATCGGGAGAGGGTTTTGATGATTTGGGGTATCCAGAGGGAGTTTTGGGGGTCCAGAGAGGGTTTTGGTGGTTTTGGGGGTCCGGAGGGGTTTTGATGATTTTTGGGGATCCGGAGGTGATTTTGGGGATGGGGAGGGGTTTTAGGGGTTTTGGGTGGTCCAGAGGGGTTTTGTTGATCTGGGGGTCCGAATGTGAATTTGGAGGATCGGGAGGGGTTTTGGTGTTTTGGGGGGTCTGGGGGTGATTTTGGGGAGTCCGGAGGGGTTTTGATGATTTTGGGGGTCCAGAGGGGAGTTTTTGGGGTTTTGGGAGGTCCGAAGGTGATTTTGGGGGATCCGGAGGGGGTTTGGGGGTCCCATAGGGCGTTTTGGGGGATTTTGGGGGTCGGAGGGATCTTTTGATGATTTGGGGGTCCAGAGGTGATTTTGGGGTCCGGAGGTGTTTTTGGGTGGTCCGGAGGGGTTTTGGGGGTTTTGGGGGTCCGCAGGGGTTTTGATGATTCTGAGGGGTCCAGAGGTGATTTTGGAGGATCCGGAGGGAGTTTTGAGGGTTTTGGGGTCGGGAGGTGTCTTTTGATGATTTGGGGGTCCGGAGGGGTTTTTGGTGGTTTTGGGGGTCCGGAGGGGGTTGGTGGTTTTGGGGGTCTGGAGATGATTTTTGGGGGTCCAGAGGGGGTGTTGGGGGTCCAGAGGGGTTTTGGGGTGTCCGGAGGGATCTTTTGATGATTTGGGGGTCCAGAGGGGCTTTGGGGAATCGGGAGGGGGGTTGATGATCTGGGGGTCCTGAGGGAGTTTTGGGGGCCCAGAGGGGCTTTTTGGGTGGTTTTGGGGGTCCGAAGGATTTTGGGGGATTCAGAGGGGGCTTTGGGGGTCCGGAGGGGGTTTTGAGGGATCGGGAGGGGGTTTTGATGATTTGGGGTATCCAGAGTGGATTTTGGGTGGTCCAGAGAGGGGTTTTGATGATTTTGGGGGATCCGGAGATGATTTTGGGGATCCGGAGAGGGTTTGGGGGTCCCATAGGGCGTTTTGGGGGATTTTGGGGGGTCCGGAGGGATCTTTTGATGATTTGGGGGTCCAAAGGTGATTTTTGGGGAGTCCGGAGGGGTTTTGATGATTTGGGGGTCCAGAGGTGATTTTGGGGGTCCGGAGGGGGGTTTGGGTGGTCCGAGGGGGTTTTGGGGGTTTTTGGGGGTCCGCAGGGGTTTTTGATGATTTTGGGGGTCCAGAGGTGATTTTGGAGGATCCGGAGGAGTTTTGAGGAGTTTTTGGGAGTCGGGAGGTGTCTTTTGATGATTTGGGGGTCCGGAGGGTTTTTTGGTGGTTTTGGGGGTCCGGAGGGGGTTTGGTGGTTTTGGGGGTCCGGAGATGATTTTGGGGGTCCAGAGGGGGTGTTGGGGGTCCAGAGGGGTTTTGGGGTGTCCGGAGGGGGTTTTTGATGATTTTGGGGGGTCCGGAGGGATTTTGGGGAATCGGGAGGGGGTTTTGATGATTTGGGGGATCCAGAAGGAGTTTTGGGGGGTCCAGAGGGGGTTTTTGATGATTTTGGGGAGGTCCGGAGGGGTTTTTTGGTGGTTTTGGGGGGTCCGGAGGGGGTTTTGGGGGTCAGGAGGGGTTTTAGGGGTCTGGAGGGGGTTTTTGGTGGTTTTGGGGGTCCGGAGGTGATTTTGGGGGATCGGGAGGGGGCTTTTGATGATTTCGGAGGGTCCAGAGGGGTTTTTGGGGGGTCCGGAGGGGGTTTTGGATAATTTTTGGGGGTCCAGAGGGGTTTTTGGGTGGTCCAGAGTGGGTTTTTGAGGATTTTGGGGGTGTCCGGAGGGGTTTTGGGGGTCCGGACCGGGTTTTGGGGGTCCGGACGGGGTTTTTGGGAGGTCTGGAGGGGATTTTTGGGGGATCCAGAGGCAGTTTTGGGGGGGTTTAGGGTTCCGGAGGGGGTTTTTGATGATTTTGGGGGTGTCCGGAGGGGTTTTTGGGGGGTCTAGACCGGGTTTTTGGGAGGTCCGGAGGGGTTTTGGGGGGTCTGGAGGGGATTTTTGGGGGATCCGGAGGCAGTTTTGTGGGCTTTTAGGGTTCCGGAGGGGTTTTTTGATGATTTTGGGGTGTCCAGAGGGGGTTTAGGGTTCCGGAGGGGGTTTTTGATGATTTTGGGGTGTCCGGAGGGGTTTTTTGGGGGTTTTTGGGGTTTCCTGAGGGGTTTTTTTGGGGTTCCCCCTCGCCGCGGTCCGGTGGGCGTGGCCTGCCCGTCGTGGCCCCGCCCCTTTTGCCGCAGCGCCGCGGCCGGAGCCGAAAAAACCCGAAGGGACCCGAACGGTTCCGAACCCACCCGAGACCCTCCGGACCCTCCGGACCCTCGGACCCACCCGAACCCACCCGAACCCACCCGAACTCACCCGAACCGACCTCGACGAAACCACCCGAACCCCAAAGGGGTCCCGAACCCACCGAACCCACCCGAAACACCCGAACGGTTCCGAACCCACCCGAACCCACCCGAACTGACCCGAACCGGACCCGAACTAGCCTGAAACCCACCCGAACCGGCTCCGAACTCACCCGAACCGGCTCCCGAACCGGTTCCGAACCGGCCCAGAAGCGGCCCGAAGCGGAGCCGGAGGGAGCCGAAGGGTCCCAGCCATGGCCACCCCCCACAGAGCCCGCCATGGGAGGTGAGGGGGCTGGGTGGGGGCTGGGTGGGTGCAGAGGGTGCTGGGTGGTGCAGGATGGGTGCAGGGGTGCTGGGTGGGTGCTGGTGCAGGGAGGAGGGTGCAGGTGGGTGCTGGGTGGGTGCAGGATGGGTGCTGTGGGTGCTGGAGATGCTGGGTGGGTGCTGGTGCAGGGAGGAGGGTACAGGTGGGTGCTGGACATGCTGGGTGGTGCAGGATGGGTGCAGGGGGTGCTGGTGCAGGATGGGTGCTGGGTGGTGCAGGATGGGTGCAGTGGGTGCTGGTGCAGGGAGGAGGGTGCTCGAGGTACAGGATGGGTGCAGGGGGTGCTGGGTGGTGCTGGTGCAGGGCTGAGGGTACAGGTGGGTGCTGAGTGGTGCAGGATGGGTGCAGGGGGTACAGGATGGGTGCAGGGGGTACAGGTGGGTGCTGGACATGCTGGGTGGTGCAGGATGGGTGCAGGGGGTGCAGGATGGGTGGAGGGGGTGCTGGGTGGTGCAGGATGGGTGCAGTGGCTGCTGGTGCAGGGCTGAGGGTACAGGTGGGTGCTGGGTGGGTGCTGGAGGTGCTGGGTGGGTGCAGGGGGTGCTGGGTGGGTACAGGTGGGTTCTGAGGCGCTGGTGCAGAATGAGGGTGCAGGGGGTGCAGGATGGGTGCAGGGGGTACTGGGTGGGTGCTGGAGGTGCTGGATGGGTGCATGGGGTGCTGGGTGGGTACAGGTGGGTTCTGAGGCGCTGGTGCAGAATGAGGGTGCAGGGGGTGCAGGATGGGTGCAGGGGGTACTGGGTGGGTGCTGGAGGTGCTGGGTGGTGATCCAGGATGGGTGCAGGATGGGTGCAGGGGTGAGGGCACAGGTGGGTGCAGGATGGGTGCTGGATGGATCCCAGTGGGTCCTGGATGGATCCCAGTGGGTGCTGGGTGGGTGCTGGGTTGTCCTGGATGGATCCCAGTGGGTCCTGGATGGATCCCAGTGGGTGCTGGGTGGGTGCTGGGAGGGTGCTGAGCTGTTCCGGATGGGTCCCGGGTGGGTCCCGGATGGGTCCCAGGGGTGCTGGATGGATCCCAGTGGATGCTGGGTGGGTGCTGGGTGGTCCAGGATGGATCCCAGTGGGTCCTGGATGGGTCCCAGTGGGTGCTGGGTGGGTGCTGAGGGTGCTGGGTGGGTGCTGGGTGATCCAGGATGGATCCCGGTGGGTCCTGGGTGGGTGCTGAGGGTGCTGGGTGGTCCAGGATGGGTCCCAGTGGGTGCTGAGGGTGCTGGGCGGTCCAGGATGGGTCCCAATGGGTGCTGGGTGGGTGCTGGGTGGTCCAGGATGGGTCCCAATAGGTGCTGGGTGGGTACTGAAGGTGCTGGGTGGGTGCTGGGTGGTCCAGGATGGGTCCCAATGGGTGCTGGGTGGTCCAGGATGGGTCCCAATGGGTGCTGGGTGGGTCCCAATGGGTGCTGGGTGGGTGCTGGGTGGTCCAGGATGGGTCCCAATGGGTGCTGGGTGGGTCCCAGTGGGTGCTGGGTGGTCCTGGATGGGTCCCGGTGGGTGCTGGGTGGGTGCTGAGCCATCCTGGATGGATCCCAGTGGGTGCTGGGTGGGTCCCGGTGGGTCCTGGATGGGTCCCAGTGGGTGCTGAGGGTGCTGGGTGGGTACTGAGGGTGCTGGGTGGGTCCTGGGTGGTCCAGGATGGGTCCCACTGGGTGCTGGGTGGGTGCTGAGGGTGCTGGGAGGGTGCTGGGTTGGTCCCGGTGAGTCCTGGATGGGTCCCAGTGGGTGCTGGGTGATCCAGGATGGGTCCCAGTGGGTGCTGGGTGGTCCAGGATGGATCCCAGTGGGTGCTGGGTGATCCAGGATGGATCCCAGTGGGTGCTGGGTGGTCCTGGATGGATCCCAGTGGGTGCTGGGTGGGTGCTGGGAGGGTGCTGAGGGTGCTGGGTGGGTGCTGGGTGGTCCAGGATGGATCCCGGGGGGTCCAGGATGGGTCCCAGTGGGTGCTGGGTGGGTGCTGGGTGGGTGCTGGGTGGTCCAGGATGGATCCCAGTGGGTGCTGAGGGTGCTGGGTGGGTGCTGAAGGTGCTGGGTGGGTGCTGGGTGGTCCAGGATGGGTCCCGGGGGGGTCCAGGATGGGTCCCAATGGGTGCTGGGTGGGTGCTGAGGGTGCTGGGTGGGTGCTGGGTGATCCCGGATGGATCCCAGTGGGTGCTGGGTGGGTGCTGGGTGGGTGCTGAAGGTGCTGGGTGGGTGCTGGGTGGTCCAGGATGGGTCCCGGGGGTCCCCGCTCTGCGGCACCGCCGAGAGGAGGGCAGAATTCCCGAATTCCCAAGGAATTCCCAAATAATTCCGAATAATTCCCAAATAATTCCCAAATAATTCCCGAATTCCTGAAGGGCCGCAGGGAGGGAATTGGGGGGATGGGAATGACCCCAATTAGCATCATTAACACCCTAATTACCGTAATTAACCCCCCAATTACCGTAATTAACCCCACATTGCAATAATTAACCCCAGTTAGCGTAATTAACCCCAATTACCGTAATTAACCCCAATTACCGTAATTAACCCCCCCATTGTGGTAATTAACCCCCAATTACCGTAATTAACCCCCATATTGTGATAATTAACCCCAATTATCATGATTAACCCCCAATTACCCTAATTAACCCCCAATTACTGTAATTAACCCCCATTGCAGTAATTAACCCCAATTACCGTAATTAACCCCCAATTACCGTAATTAACCCCCCCTATTGTGATCATTAACCCCCAATACCGTAATTAACCCCAATTACCGTAATTAACCCCCCCATTGTGGTAATTAACCCCAATTACCGTAATTAACCCCCAAATGACCGTAATTAACCCCAATTATTGTAATTAACCCCCAATTACTGTAATTAACTCCTCAATTACGGTAATTAACCCCAATTACCCTAATTAACCCCCCAATAACAGTAATTAACCCCCACTGCACTAATTAACCTACAATTACTGTAATTAACCCCCAAATAACCCTAATTAACCTCAATTCCCATCATTAACCCTCAATTACAGTCATTAACCCCCACTGCACTAATTAACCCCAATTACTGTAATTAACCCCCAAATTACCCTAATTAACCCCAATTACCCTAATTAACCCCCAATTACAGTCATTAACCCCCATTGCACTAATTAACCCCAATTGCCCTAATTAACCCCCAATTACTGTAATTAACCCCCAATTACCCTAATTAACCCCCAATTGCAGTAATTAACCCCCAATTACGGTAATTAACACCCAATTACTGTAATTAACCACCCCATTGCAGTAATTAACCCCAATTACAGTCATTAACCCCCAAATGACCCTAATTAACCTCAATTCCCATCATTAACCCCCAATTACAGTCATTAACCCCCATTACCTTAATTAACCCCCAATTACAGTAATTAACCCCCATTGCACTAATTAACCCCAATTACCATAATTAACCTCATTGCACTAATTAACCCCCAATTACAGTAATTAACCCCCAAATTACCCTAATTAACCTCAATTCCCATCATTAACCCCCGATTACAGTCATTAACCCCCATTACCTTAATTAACCCCCAATTACAGTCATTAACCCCATTGCACTAATTAACCCCAATTACCCTAATTGACCCCCCATTGCAGTATTAACCCCAATTACCCTAATTAACCCCCAATTACCCTAATTAACCCCCAATTACCCTAATTAACACCCAATTACACTAATTAACCCCAATTACTGTAATTAACCCCCTATTTTTGTCTCCCCTCCCCCCCAGAGGCTGCGAGGGCCAAGGACCCCTTCAACTACGGTGAGAATGGGGGGGTGGGGGGTCCTGGGGGGATTTGGGGGGTCCTGGGGGATTTGGGGGAGTCAGGGGATTTGGGGGTCCTGGGGGATTTGGGGGATTTGAGGGGATTTGAGGGTCCTGGGGGGGATTTGGGGTCCTGGAGTGGATTTGGGGGGATTTGGGGGTCCTGGGTGGAATTTGGGGGGATTTAGGGGGTCCTGGGGGGATTTAAGGGGCTTGGGGGGATTTAGGGGGATTTGGGGGGTCCTGGAGTGGATTTGGGGGGTCTTGGGGGGATTTAAGGGGCTTGGGGGGATTTGGGGGGATTTGGGGGGGATTTTGGGGGATTTTGGGGGGTCTTTTTGGGGGTTTGGGAGATTCTGGGGGGATTTTGGGGTCCTGGGGAGGATTTGGGGGTTTGGGGGGATTTTGGGGGGATTTGGGGCGTCCTGGGGGGATTTGGGGGGATCTGGGGGGATTTGGGGGATTTGGGGGGTCCTGGGGGGATTTTGGGGTCCTGGGTGGATTTAGGGGGGTCTTGGGGGATTTAAGGGGCTTGGGGGGATTTGGGGAGATTTGGGGGGATTTGGGGGGATTAGGGGGATTTCAGGGGGATTTGGGGGGATTTTGGGGTCTTGGGGGAGTTGGAAGATTCTGGGGGGATTTTGAGGGTCTTGGGGGAGATTTTGGGGGATTGGGGGATTTTGGGGGTCTTGGGGGATTTGGGGGGGATTTGGGGGATCCTGGGGGGGTCAGGGGGATTTGAGAGGTTAGGGGGATTTGGGGGTTCCTGGGGGGATTTTGGGGGGTCCTGGGGTGATTTGGGGGTCCTGGGGGGATTTGGGGGGATTTGGGGGGATTTGGGGGGTCCTGGGGGATTTGGGGAGATTTGGGGGATTTGGGGGGTCCTGGGGGGATTTGGGGGATTTGGGGGATTTGGGGGTCCTGGGGGATTTGGGGGGATTTGGGGGATTTGGGGGTCCTGGGGGATTTGGGGAGATTTGGGGGGATTTGGGGGGTCCTGGGGGATTTGGGGGGGATTTGGGGGATTTGGGGGGTCCTGGGGGGATTTGGGGGGACTTGGGGGTTTTGAGGGGTTGTTTAGGGATGTTTGGGGATTTTTGGGCTCCATTTTGGGGTGTTTGGGGTTTTAGGGTCAGGATTTTTGGGGGTTGTTTTTGGGGTCATTTTTGGGGTGTTTGGGGTTGTTTTGTGGTTGTTTGGGGTTGGTTTTTGGGGTGTTTTGGGGTTTTCTGGGCTCCATTTTTGGGGTGTTTGGGGTTTTTGGGGTGGGGATTTTTTTTAGGGTTGTTTTGGGGTGGTTTTGGGGTGGTTTTTGGGTCTGGGGGGGTCGATTTTTGGGGTGTTTGGGGTTGTTTTGGGGTTTTTTGGGTTTTTTTGGGCTCCATTTTTGGGGTGTTTGGGGTTTTTGGGGTCAGGATTTTCTTTTGGGGTCGTTTTTGGGGTTGTTTTTGGGTATTTTGGGTTGGGGGCTCCATTTTTGGGGTGTTTGGGGTTTTTGGGGTCGGGATTTTTGGAGGTTGTTTTGGGGTGTTTAGGGTGGTTTTAGGTCTGGGGTCGATTTTGGGGGGTTTTTTTTGGGGGTGTTTGGGGTTGTGGGGGCTCCATTTTTGGGGTGTTTGGGGTTTTTGGGGTGGGGATTTTTTTTAGGGTTGTTTTGGGGTTGTTTTGGGGTGGTTTTTGGGGTGTTTGGGGTTGTTTTTGGGGTGTTTTGGGGGTTTTTTGGGCTCCATTTTCGGGGTGTTTTGGGGTTGTGGGGGCTCCATTTTTGGGTTGTTTGGGGTTTTGGGGTCGGGGTTTTTTTTAGGGTTTTTTTTGGGGTATTTTGGGATTCAGGGGGTGATTTTTGGGGTGGGTTTGGGGTGTTTGGGGTTGTGGGGGTTCCATTTTTGGGGTGTTTGGGGTTTTTGGGGTCAGGATTTTTTTTAGGGTTGTTTTGGTGTTTTTGGGGTTGTTTGGGGTCATTTTTGGGGTTGTTTGGGGTTGTGGGGGCTCCATTTTTGGGGTGTTTGGGGTTTTGGGGTGGGGATTTTTGAGGTGGTTTGGGGTTGTTTTGGGGTGGTTTTGGGTCTGGGGTCGATTTTC